ATCATGGGGACTACTTCGAACATTTACTGTAAAAAGATTAGCAAAATGTTGTCTCTATGAATAAATATTTGAAAGTTGCAGAACTTTTTGACTACCCTAAGTATATTTAATGTAGAACTATATATGTGATAAATGAAAAATTTATATCCAAAGACAAAATCTTGATAATTCGATATCGATTCTACTATAAGGAAAACATTTTTGAATTATAGAACGATATGGCTTGAATTTTTCAGGAATAATTTGTCTATGAACATGAAGAAAAAAACAAATTCCTTCAAGCTTTCAATCAATTGACAAAGATCTTGATCAAAAACATTTACATTTTGAACTAAACAAAAATATTACTTTTTCTTAATGTATTGTTTTTTTGTTTTATTTACATACCAATCGATTTTGATATTTCTAAATTTTGTGCCCATTGCAAAGCATCAATATAATAAAAGTATCCTAATTGAATATTTAGTCGAACTAAAAATAAATAATAGTTTAAATTAATATTATAGACAGTTCTCGAAGTTATAACTTTTATTATCTTATTAAACAAGAAATAAGCATCTTCTTCATGTTGAGTTCTTTTCTTTTCAAGTAAAATACCAATGCTTCGTTTCTTTTTGAACACAATATTGGAACTGATTCTTATTCTTGGAAGATATATAAAAATGAATATTGTATAGATAGTGATAAATGATCAAAAAAAATCATTTTTGCAATGTCCCACATAGTGAAGGAAAAATAATTTATAGGATAGAACCTTATTGTAATTTACAGAAGAGTTTTTGACAAAAAAACACACTAAACTAGATGATGTATTTTATTAAAGATTCATAAAAATGGTATGCTTTTTCGTTTGATTAAAATTGAATGTTTTCTTTTCTTCGCTTTTTTACATACATAGAGGTATGGAAGACTAAAAAAGCAAACTTTACGAAGATTAAATCAGAGATTATAGTCAGATATTTATCTGTTTTTGTCAATGACTTATTACATAGCTATCGCTAATGAAAATAAAACTAAAAAAGAGAAGACTTAAAAAGTATATCACTTGTTCAGTTAATAAAGTAAACAACGAACGATAATTTAAGAAGGTTCATTAATTCTATGATCTTAATTCAGATTCAGAAATAAAAGAATAAACTAAAAGTCTTGTTAGCACAGTTCATTTTGCGAATGAAATATGGAATTCGAATAAATTTCTTAGCCTCCCTTAACACATTCGACCCGATTCAGTTTTCGTAAATTTTTTTTCAGATTGTTCATTTTCGTGAACAATCATCTTCTCATAAATGCACTTAATGACCTTTTGGCTATATTTTACTGGTTATTTGTCGTTCTCTTGTTTATACCACTACACAGTGAGTCATTTTTTACTGACCAAATGAATAATCGCTCAAGTCAGTTTTTCGTTCTTTTGTATATTATATGAATCATGTCTGAGAAAAAGAAGGAAATTTCCAGTATTTTCTCCCCTATTCTTTTCTCTATATCGTTTTGCATATAAATACAACGGAATTTTTGGAGCATTTCACATGTCGTTTGAAGAAATCGATATTGAAGATAGTGCTAGCTCACTCAGTGAAGTGAGTTCACTGGATGATGAATTTTGATACAATGCACCTTGATTTTGACAGTTCTGAAGAAGTTACTGATAATGACGATGATGATGATGATATGGATTTACATACTTGGAATTAAATAGAACCAGAATCTGATGCAGAATTCTTGAAAGATCATGGACTTATTGAAGATGTAACTTCTATTTCAGAAGATAACACAATCAATCCTATCGACTGCTATCGGCATTTCATTACGGACGAAATTATTGACCTTATAGTTCGTGAAAATAATCAATACGCGCAGCAATACTTGCAAAACCATGACATAAGTAGAAGATCAATATTTAAACAATGGAAACCAACCAATAATACAGAGATGCTCAAGTTCTTTGTAATAGTCATTGAAATGGAATTAGTACAAATGCCGAAGTTGAAGTGTTATTGGAGCTCTACACTGAAAAAAAATCCGTAGAATAATAAACGGAAAAAACGTTTTTGAGAGGGTATTAAACAAAAAAGGGTTTATGAAAGTGCAACGGGACGCAAACCCTTTTTTCCGTATTTGACGAAGATAATAAACGGTTTTTACGTTTATGATTTCTAAAAAGGGTTTATCAAATATTTCAAAAATGGAAAAAAAGGGTTTATGTCCCGTTGCACTTTCATAAACCCTTATTTTTTACAGTGTAGTCAATTATATGGTTCACAGATCATTCGAAATACTATGCCAAGAGAGAGATTTGAATTACTCCTCAAATTTTGGCATTTTTCGAATAACAATAACAAGAATTCGAACCAAGATAGACTGTTCAAGTTGAAGCCACTCTTAGGTTTACTAAAAGAGAGATTTTCATCAGTATATATGTCTGATTCAATTATCAGTATTGACGAAAGTATGATACCATGACGAGGCAGACTTTTATTCAAACAATACATACCTGGAAAAGCGCACAAGTACGGCGTAATGATGTACAAATTAGCGGCGACCAATGGATATGTTTGGAATTATGTAATTTATACTGGTGAGCAAGATTTGACGGCAGGTATTGGGCATGCTCAAACAATAGTAATGAAACTATTAGATGGTCTTGATGGATGTTATCGAACCGTAGTAGCTGACAATTTCTTTACCAGTATTTCTCTTGCGAAATATTTGTTGGAACATGATACGTATCTCATTGGAACATTACGAAGTAATCGTGTTGGATCAGGAAGTAAAGTTCTTGAAGAAAATCTTAGTCGTGGAGAAGTGGGAGTCCGGAATTTCGGCCCAAGAATTTTTCGTCCCAAACTTTCGGCTCGGTCCAAAATTCCGGTGATTTTTCGGTCCGGACCGAAAATCCAAAAGAAATCTCGGTCCAGTTCTTAATTTAATTTAATTAATTAATTAATTATTAATTAGTAAACTTCATAGTGCTGAGCACCATGACTTTTCAAAAAATCATTCTGCTCAGCACTATGCCATACTGCTTAGCAAGACGATTTACTGAATATTCGTACTGGTTAGCAAGATAATTTATTGAATATTCATACTGCTCAGCAGAATGATTTTTTGAAAAGTCATGGTGCTCAGCACTATGAAGTTTACTAATTAATAATTAATTAATTAAATTTATTTAAGAACTGGGAAAAGATTCCTATCTGACTTTCGATCTGGACCGAAAAATCACCGAAATTTTGGACCGAGCCGAAAAGTTTGGGACGAAAAATTCTTGGGCCGAAATTCATGTAACCCGGAGAAGTTTATGGACTTCAGAATAAAGATGGAATTAAATTAATCAGGTGGAAAGACAAAAAACGATGTCTTGATGGTATCTACAAGTCCGTCACATTCAGCAAGTGTAGGAGACAGTGGAAAAGCAAATTTTCAAAATGAGCGGATCATGAAGCCCCAAGTTGTATTAGATTACAATGAAGACAGACAAGGTATTGATTTATCTGATCAACTATCAAAATATTACACATGTCTCTGAAAATCAAAAAAATGGTACCGCAAAGTGGCATTTGTATTGGTTTTCGGGACGGCACTGGTAATCAGCTATTTCATATATAAGGAAAACTACACCGAAAGCAAAGTGACCATTCTGCAGTTTCGTGAAAGTCTTGTCCGATCTTTACTGCTTGGCACGCCAACCGAGAAGCTAAAACCTGGTCCAAGACAGCAATCAGCAAGTCATTCGAAGCGAAAACTCGTTAATCACAAGCTCGAAGAAAAAGAAGGATCTACACGCAATGTCGCAGACGGTGCACTGGCTGCTATGCGAAGGGACGAGCCCAACAATCAAAAGAAGCCAGCCGTGCGGCAGCAAAGAAAGTAAAAACTTTCTGTTCTGACTGTAATAAATTTTTTTGTCTTGAGTTTTTTAATGATAAGCATGATGCTATGGAGTAAAGAACTCAAATAAAGTACTAAAGGCAGCACAGTTGACTCCTTATATTTAGTCTCCTACTTAAGAAAAAAGCAAAAGAAAATGCTTTTCTATACAGTTTTTCGTTAAACTATAGCGTAGCCCACCGGTGGGCTACATCGGGTCGAATGTGTTAATTCATTTTCTCATTCAATCACGATTTATTTGTAAGAGAAAGAGAACAAACAAAAATAAAATTTATCATCGTAATGAGTTTATTCGATATTAAATTTTTGTACTCGTTCATTTCCGTAATCGACGACATAGAGATTGCCATGTCGATCAAATGATAAACCTGTGGGAGAAGCGAGTTGATTCGACTTTGCTCCATAACCGTTTCCACCAACAATGACACTTCCTTGTGTGGCTCCTTTTGGCCAACGCATGATTCGATGATTCCAAGAATCAGTCACATAGACAGTACCCAATTGATCGACAACGAGTCCTTCAGGTTCATGCAATTGTGTAAGACGATTTCCTTCTCCTTTACCACCGGCTACGACAATGCCCTGTTTTGCACCTTCTTTCCATTTCATTACACGATGATTTTCACAAACAGACACATAAACTGAATGGTCTCGATCGACAAATACGTAGCGGGGATAAGAGAGTTGATAGAGACGACTTCCTTGTCCATTGCCACCTGCAACTACTGTTCCTTTAGTGTCACCAATTTTATATCGTCTCACTTCATGTTTTTCTACATCAACGACATAGAGAAAACCATTGTCGTCCATTGTCAAACCCCAGCAAGCGATATTCGAAATAATTGTTTCTCCACGAGTACCATTTCGACGAGGCCAACGAACTACTCTTCTATTCACGTAATCGCTGATGATGAGACTATCGCTCTCTTTGTCGATAATCACATCTCGTGGGTAGTTTAACTGATGAGCTC